ACGTTAAACAAAAATCTCACACATCAAACATGTCAGCATTTTTCAAGTTTTAACATTTTCTAGTTAAAACAGCTCTGGTGAATAACATAATGTGTAGCCTTTTCTATAAGTTAAAAAATTCTCACTTTTGAGAATAGAAGGATCTACAGTAGGGTTTCAGTCACAGCCTTTGAAGAACAAAGAACAATTCAATAAACTTCTGGAGTAATAACTGGTGCTGACCTTAACTTTAATTTTTATAGTTTCTGGAATCCAAGGCTTACACAAACATCTGTCTTTCTATTTTCTTTTATGCAAAACAAAACTTCATGATTTCCTTTTCCTACATGTAGGATGCTTTGACAGTTGAGCAGCACATCTAAAGTCTACTTTTAGAGGTTTAAAGGTCAGTTTGTAGCTTTTGTCCAGATAGTCAGTCTTAAAATATCTAGATCTAGCATTCAAACTTTGTTTTGTGGGTCATGTGTGATTGGTATTCTTGTTTGACATCATATCAACCATTTGTGTTTGTGTAAAGGTAGTGTGGTAAAATTTTGAACAAAACAAAACAAAAAACAGTGGTGTAAACCCTGATCTTTGTCAGTACAAGTTTACAGTGTGTTACGTCCCTCTGCAGCCTGTGGCTGTTTTCCTTTAAACAATAGTGTTTAAAGGAAAGATGAGACAGAGTTTGTGTGGTAGCTCCATTAAATATGGATCTAAAAATAGAAAAATAGAAAAAAAAGAGGCTAATGATAATCATCTATACCTGGTTCAAAGTCTCTGTGGTGCAGACAGAGTTTCCAGCCCTGTTGACCCTCCAGCTCTGGAAGCAACTCTCCGTAGACCCAAGCTTTATCATGAACATTGTAGGAGACAAAGGCATCGTAGCTGTGAGGAATACCTTTCTTCCTCCTCTTATTATCATAGAGAAAGGCCAGGAAGAGGTAGTAGGCATATGTGACGTGTGACCTCAGGAAGTGATAGATGAAGGATGCAAGGAGAGTAAGCATAACTAGATTAGAGCTAAAAAGGAAGCAGAGCAAGGCAGCATTTATCCGACAGGAGTCAAAACCAAAGTCCAGGAATTTGTTTCCCCTTTGGCTGACAGGAAACGCGCAAGTGTACTGATGTGCATTAACAACCTGTGTCTGTTTGCTGCCTTGAATCCACTGGATAAGACC